GTAGCAACCATGAATCTGCTTTCTGTATCTATGAGCTTGTGTTTAGGTTTTGGTTTTGGTTTTAGATTCCATGGAATTGTCTTTTGAATTAATGAATTAATGCACTATTAATTTTTTCTTAGTTATTACTGTATTTTCATAGGAAGTAGTAGTTCTTTTTTTATGATTTTATTTTATTTATTTATTCATGAGAGACACACAGAGGCAGAGACATAGAGGAAGAAGCAGGCTCCCCACAGGGAGCCTGATGCAGGACTCAATCCATGGACCCCAGGGTCACGCCCATATTTTTTTTTCTTTTAGTTGTAACATATAATATTTGCGGAGGTGAATTTAGTCAATAATTATGATGTTGTCTTGATATTAGGACCAATCTTCAAAATAACTTGGTTCATTGATTTCTGTTATTGAACTTGGTTTGACAATGTAAATTGGTATCAGTTGTGTTTTAAATTATTAATTAGTTTTTAATTAGTGTTTTAAAAATTTAAATATAAGATGCATATAATAAATAGAGGGCATGTTAATGTGAACTTTGTTCTAGAATCTTAAATGGCAAATTGATGACTTATCTTTTAGGCTAAGCAAAGCTTTAAGTTCCTCTTTAAAACTATGTATTTGAACAAATGATTGCTTATTTCTTCTCTATATTATTTTAGTTTGATCATGAAATGTTCATTAACTATTAATTTCAAGTTAGGCTAGAGGGCATATATATTTTCAACTGTGCTTTTTAAAAATAATTTTTTAATTCTCTGTTTTTGAGCAAAATGAAATGTAGATATTTATTGGAGACTGACCTCTCCTTCTCTCTCTTCCTCCTCTTTCTTTCTCTCTTTTTTTAAAGATACAATCATACTTTTAGAGGCTGTCTGTAAGAAGTAAGAAAATAGATATAAATCACAATGATTTTGAGTCCTTGTAAAATCATTATAGGAATAGTTACTAATTGAGAGCTCTGATTAATTGAGCTTGATTACTTAAGGATTTCTGGTTCTGTTGACTTAGATCTTTGATGTGGACCTCAGGAAGTTCTTAGTTCCTGATTTGCTGTTTGGTAATGAAAAAGTATTATTTTAAATAAGACTATCTTTTAAATGTTAGTTGACTTGATTACTAAATGATAAGTAAAATTATTAGAATCAAGGTTTTTTTTTTTTAAAAGATTTTATTTATTTATGCACGAGAGACAATAGAGAGAGAGAGGCAGAGACACAGGCAGAGGGAGAAGCAGACTCCATGCAGGGAGCCTGACATGGGACTCGATCCTGGGTCTCCAGGATCCCACCCTGGGCTGAAGGCAGGCGCCAAACCGCTGAGCCACCGGGGCTGTCCTAGAATCAAGTTTTAGCATTTTTTGTGTATGCATTTTGACCAAGTTAGCAGAAGTTTTTGGTTATATATATACACTGGGCACTGGTCAACCTTAACTGGTTTTGGCGTTTAGAACCAAATCATAAAAATTATTTTGAAAATATTTTGCTTGGGACGCCTGGGTGGCTCAGCAGTTGAGCACCTGTCCCTGGCTCAGGGCGTGATCCGCGGTCTCAGGATCGAGTCCCACATCAGGCTCCCTGCCTGGAGCCTGCTTCTCCCTCTGCCTACATCTCTGCCTTTCTCTGTGTCTTTCATGAATAAATAAATAAAATCCCTTAAAAAAAATATTTTATTTACGTGATAAATACCATTATTTTGAATACTGTTAAAACAAATAACGTACTGTTATGGGGAAAAAAATCTGAATTTTCCCATTCTATTTTTGTTTAATAACTTCATTTAAAAAATAACAAGCTTTCAAGAGTGTTATGAAAAGTGGAATTTTCTCATAACTGGAAGTTAACTATGTTTTTTATTCAACTTTGTAACTACCATTTAACATAGGGTATTCTTAGCAGACAGGGTTTGATACATTCTTGTATATAATTTAAATGTTCTGGGTCCACAATGCCTTACATAGACATGGGGAACATAGCATGTTCATTAGAGCATCCACATTTTATTACATATCCTCTTCCCTTTCTTTGATTGCCTGTGCTAGCTCATTAACTTTGTTATTTTGGGTGGTATTTGACATAGAGTTTTTTTTTTTCCCCAGCAAATCCATTGAAAGAATGAAAAATATATACAATCGTATTGTTTAGTCCGATTATATATTAGTGTACTACACTTTACTAATCACACATCAATTTCAGTATCAGCATACTTGGAGAGAGTTTGGAGACTTAAATGTGAGTGAAGACCTTAAGTTGGAAGTTTTCTTCAAACCATTTGAGTTGAATAGGCTTACAGACAAAATTTGAATCCTTCCTCAAAACTTCAGTGGAGCAGATAGTAAGCTTCAAAACTCTACAAGAAATTGATAATATGCGTAAAAAGTTTTATTGAATGTGAAATACTAGAGGTCTTCTTAAAAGCTGAAGGGCAGTAGGTTTCTGTGTATATGCATTTGTCTTTGCATCTCATAGCTAATAAAATAATTCTAGAATAGATTGAATTTCACAGTATACAGTGACATAGAGTTGTATTAGATGCTTTTGGTGCCCTACATAACTTACCCTTGGTCTTCGCTGCTGTGGACACTGTGAGCTCAGAGGTATGCAGACCTAACAAAGTTGCACTTCAGATGAGTACTGCTTTCTTTCCTGCTCTCTGCCTTTCTTCAACACTGCTGGAGCCTGCTAGGGATGTTCCCCTTATTCATTGTCTAAGCGCAAACTAGAAGTACAGGTTCTCAGCAGTTCTCAGCAACTCTCAGTTAATTGGGATCATAGCTGATGCATAAAATGCCCCAGCCTCCTGTCTTTTAGGTACACAATTCCAGAGGCATTCATATGCTCTTGCCCATAGTGCTAAACTCAATAATGTACCTTTCTATTATCATTTTTTCCCCCGCCTTGGCTCATTCTCCCCACTCCCCCACTTCTGTATCCTAAGATTCTTTCCCAGATAAACCACTTGTACCCAGGTCTTTGTCTTATGTTTTATCTTCTGTAGAATCTAAACTAAAAAGTCTTACGGAAAGGAAATCTGTTTAAATATGTTAAACATAGCTTTTACCAAATATATTTGACCATACAACTTTTTATTCAAGTGATTCTTATTACCAACAAAGTAGTAATTTTATGTTTATTTATAATATGTATATTAATAGGACAGTGAAACTTGCGTGTTCGAACAAAAGGCCTTTCAGAATTGAAGACATCCATCTTAAACGATAAATAAAGCATCTTTAAAATGATACTATACCTTGATGAACCATTTGATATCAAGTCTGATGAATATGGTCATGAAGAGTGTTAGGAACCATCATAGGTTTATTAATGTATTATTAATCAAATATTTTTTAAAGACTTTACTTCTTGTAGTTCTATTTAGAGTTGTTAAATAACTACATCTGAAAGATATTGCTAAAACTAAGGAGTTTTTGAGAATTTAGGAAATATGTTTGCCTGCTTGCTTTAGTGGACAGTTATTGCTAATCCACTGTATAACAGATTGAGAGCTCTGTTACTACTTAATGAAAGTATTGTTTTGTAAATATATAAATCCCCCAAAGAGAACCCTTCATCCCTTTTGGGTTTATAGCTGGTATTCAGGTCAAGGTTGAGACTTTGATATATACTCATTTTAACAATATGTGTGAGGGCATGTATGTACCTTTATTATTGTTTCTTAATTTAGTCAAACTAAAGGGCTAGTCAGCTCAGTCCTTGTTGGACTCTGTGCTTATAATAATTTTTCAAATTTTGAGTAAGTCTTGATATATTTGAATTTGTTATAATTCTTTTTCTGTGTTAAAAAAACAAACACCTCTTAAATACTAGAATCTTAATATCCTCACCTGGGGAGAGAATTTGAGTATAACTTTATCATCTTCAAATTTGGCTGTTTTATTTATGTCTTTAAGTTTATTCACGGGATCCCTGGGTGGCGCAGCGGTTTGGCGCCTGCCTTTGGCCCAGGGCATGATCCTGGCGACCCGGGATCGAATCCCATGTCAGGCTCCCGATGCATGGAGCCTGCTTCTCCCTCTGCCTCTCTCTCTCTCTGACTATCATAAATAAATAAAAATAAATAAAAATAAGTTTATTCTGTCACGAAACAACTTGCCTACATTTGAACATGAGGCAAGAAAACCTAAATCTTATGTCTAAGGACTTTGAGTGAAGCTACCTTGATAATTTTTGTTTATTCTCTTACCCTTAAAATTATGTTAATGTCATTTATTTGACCATAGCATTCTCATTCCATTCTTTATGAGAACTCACATTGCTGTTTCAGATTTCATATTAAAAATGGTGACTGATTTAATGTTTTTAAAAGGTGGTGGCCAGATAATATAGTCAGCTTTCAGCTTTTATTCAGAACATTTTATAAAGTCTTAAAACTTTGGAGAGGCTTCCAAAGTAATTTCTCTAGCAACATTTTTACCCTAGGATTATAATTTTTTAAAGTGCAGTATATCAGGAGCACATCAGAGTGAGTAAATATATTTAAATTGCTTGCTAATTTATGTTTCCATCTCACCTATCAACCCCTTTTTAATATAGGAAACTGTTAAGTATGTAGAGATCCAAGAAAATAACAGGCAAGAAGCAGGCTTAAGTAACTTTACTCTGTGCTTCAAGGTCACATTGCCCTAGGGTAGCAAGATAATTAATGCTTTCAAGCATTATGCCCAGCCATAATGGTCCCCTACCTGTGTGTTTTTGGTTTATAAACTGATAACTCATATCTGTTTATGCTTATTAGTTTCATTCAGCTTCACAAATCCATCTGTTTAAAATGGTGAAATTTATTTGATTATCAGATCGCCATAGTTAAAATAATCCATTTGCATGAAGAAGGTTTTAAAGTTACAAAATTTAAACCTCATGAAATTTGGTTTCATGATTTTGCTTTTCTCATTTTTAAGTAATTTCAGATTATGCAGAAAAATCTTTTAAAAGCCTGAGACATTTTTAAGTGAAGTTAATTCATTTTTTTTCCCTTGTTTTTAGTGGGAGATTTTGATAAGATCTGGCGAGAACATTGTGAGGATGAGGAAACACTTTGTGAATATGCTGTTGCAATGAAAAATTTGGCAGATAACCATTGGGCAAAAACTTGTGAGGGCGAAGGTCGTATTGAATGGTGTTGTAGGTGAGTATTTTTATGAACTAATATTTTTTATTTCTAATGTATTGTTTAGACTCTTAAATCCAAGTAATGCATTCTTTGTATTATTCACTGTACCAAAATAGAACTGTTTTAAAACAGATAATGTGTGTTAAATAACTCTTCCCCCTTGACTCACTTTCCCTAGGTTTATATTATTCATTCCTTTTTTAAAAAAAAAAAGATTTTTATTTATTTATTCATGAGAGACACACAGAGAGAGAGAGAGATCGAAGCAGAGACACAGGCAGAGAGAGAAGCAGGCTCCATGCAGGGAGCCTGATGCGGGACTCCATCCTGGGACTCCAGGATCAGGCCCTGGGCCAGAGGCAGGTGCTAAACGCTGAGCCACTCAGGGATCCCCTCTTCATTTCTTTTTAATCAAAATGTTTTTCTTTGGCCTAACTTTAAATTTTGTTTCGACTTTTTAAAAGTATTAAAATAAAAGTATAGCTTTAAATGCATTTCATATACTTAACCACCAATACATTTAAAATATGAGTATTTATTTTTTATTTATTTTTATTTTTAAAAAGATTTTATTTACTTATTCGTGAGACATAGAGAAAGAGGCAGAGACATAGGCAGAGGGAGAAGCAGGCTTCTCTCTGGGAGTCCAATGCAGGATTCAGGATCACACCCGGAGCCGAAGGAACTGCTGAGCCACCCAGGTGTCCCTAAAATATGAATTTTTAGCACTTTTCATAAATAAGTTATAGTATAGAAATTTGTTTTCATAATTATCCATATTTGGATTCAAATAAAAGTGAATACTTTAAAATTTGAAAACATTAAAGGTGTTAAAATCCTGAATTTTGGATGTCTAATTCAGAGCATTCCATCACTTAAATTTACTTTGGATAATGTTTATTTTCTCATAGTATATTTCTAATATTTAAAATATCAGAAAATGAAATACTGCTGGTCAGTTCTCTCAAGGTTGTAAAATTAGAAGAATGGATATGTATATTGACTGAATTTAAAAATGAATTCCCAGGGGTGGTTGGGTGGCTCAGTCCCTTAGATTCTTGGTTTTGGCTCAGGTCGTGATCTCAGGGTTGTGAGATAGGGCCCCAGGGGCTCTACCCTGGACATGGAACCTGCTTAGGATTCTCTCTCCTTTTCTCCCTCTGCCCTTTATCTCTGTTTTCTCTCTCTCTCTTTTTTTTCTCTCTCTCTAAAAAGTAAATAAATAAAATAATAATAATAATATAATTAATAATAATGAATTCCCAGCTAATACTTTTATTAGCTTTCTGTGTAGACAATAAATTTATGATAACTTCTGGTTTACATTTCATTGCAGTTATTTTAATCTAAAATTTCTGTTTTAATCTCATTTAAAAGCTATGTGGTAATGCATATTTCGCTCATTCAACAAATAATCCAGGGGGAAGATTGTATTTAATTTAGTTATTTTACTTATTCATTTAATAAATAATTTTTAATGATTGTCTACTGTGTACTAGTCACATCATAGGCACTGGGAGTACCATAATCAGCTGAACAAAATCTTTGCTCTCTTATAGTTTATTACATGATAGTAGAATTTAGAGGCAATAAACAATACATAAATAACCTGCTAAATCCGATAATAGTAGGTGCCATGAGAAAAATGAAGCAAGCAAAAATAAAACTATTTTAAGTAGGGTAGACAGGGTAGGCCTCACTGAAGTGAGATGTGCAAAAAACATGAAAGAAGTGAGAGAACAAGCCTTACAAGTCCAAAGGTTTTGAGGTAGGACTATGCTGGCATGTTTCTGAAACAGTAAGGAGACCATTGTGGCTAGAGCAAAACGTGAGGGGAAGAAGAGTAGTAGAAAATAATGAACAGTGGGACGCCTGGGTTGCTCAGTGATTGAGCGTCTGCCTTTGGCTCAGGGCATAATCCTGGGATCCTGGGATCCAGGTCCCGCATGAGGCTCCCCAAAGGGAGCCTGCTTCTCCCTCTGCCTGTGCCTCTGCCTCTCTCTCTGTGTGTCTCATGAATAAATAAATAAAATCTTAAAAAAAAAAAAAAAGGATAATGAACGGCTAGATTGTGTAGGGTCTTGTAAACCATTGTAAAGACATTGGCTTTTATTTTGTGTGAATGAGTCATTGGATATTTTAAGAAGATTAGCAGGATTTTGTTAACTTTTTATAATGTGTCAAAAATTCTTAAGACTTAATTGCTGTAGGAAGGGGAGGGTGTAAGTAAGGAAACCAGTTAGGAAGCTAATGTAATAATTGATGTACAGAGTTATAGGGAAACAGTTTTCTTGGTGAGTGAGAAAGTGGATAGAACATTAGTATCATAAGATTAATGCTCAAAGTATAATGACTCCTGAGGAAAGAGGGAAATGATGGTGTGTGTATTGTGGTTATAATGATATGTAAGTACAGAGTTGAAAATATGAGTTGGTGGAGGGAGAGTGAAAAGGTGGTATTTATCACCCATGAATTGTGTACCCCAAGAATTGTGGAGCTGGAGAACAAGCCAGAATAGTAGGAAATAGAATGCTTAAAATTAAAATGTTTGGTGTTTTTTGTTTGGTTCTGGAAAGGAAATGGTTGTATAAATCTGACTTATACAAAATGTACATTTTGTCTCTCAAGCTAAGAAACACAAAATGAGATATACTACTGAACCAAATATTTGCCTTATACATGGAGTGATCATGTAATCCAGTCAGGAAATCAGCACCATCGCTATTTAAGACCATCATTCTTGGCTTTGAGCAGTACTGCTTTAAAATTAATATTCAGGGCAGCCCCGGTGGGGCAGTGGTTTGGCACCGCCTGTAGCCCCGGGTGTGATCCTGGAGACCCGGGATCGAGTCCCACGTCAGGCTCCCTGCATGGAGCCTGCTTCTCCCTCTGCCTGTGTCTCTACCTCTCATGAATAAATAAATAAAATCTTAAAAATAAATAAATAAATAAAATAAAATTAATATTCAAATATACCAGGCAAGCTCTCAGACTTTTTTTTCTTAAATGGACGTTGATAGGTAGCATTCTCGTAGGAGCATTTGCTTGTACCTTCCTTGAATAATGAATCTACTTCACACTTCACTCTTCTTTCTTTTTTCTTAGATTTGTGGATTTTATCAATAGTTAGCATATCTACATGCATTCTGAAAGAGGTCATTTTTAGGTTAAACTGCTGAAAAGGAACATTCATCAGAATTTAGGTCAAACTGCTAAAAAAGAACAGTGGCAAAATATCATAAACTAATTTTACTATGGGAAATAATCCATGAGGAGTTTTATAATGTCTTTAAACTTAAAACTAGCTTGAGGGAAAAGGCTTCAAAACAATATTGAATTTTGAAACTTGATTTATCTATAATTTTAACTTGTATTTTATATACTTCCTTTCTTTTGATAATTCTAGGAAAGCAATGGTAATTTGAAAGCTAAAATGGGCTTTAAAAAGGGTTTGACAGAAAAGCCTGGGTGGCTCAGCGGTTAAGCTTGAGCGCCTGCCTTTGGCCCAGGGTGTGATCCTGGAGTCTGAGGATCCAGTCCCACGTCGGGCTCCCTGCATGGAGCCTGCTTCTCCCTCGCCCTGAGAGAGAGAGAGAGAGAGAGAGAGAGAGAGAGGCAGAGACACAGGCAGAGGGAGAAGCAGGCTCCATGCAGGGAGCCCGACATGGAACTCGATCCCAGGACTCCAGGATCAGATGCTCAGGGCCAAAGGCAGGTACTAAACCACCGAGCCACCCAAGGATCCCCAATAAATAAAATCTTTAAAAAAATAAAAATAAAAAGGGTTTGACAAAATTTTTTTCCAGTTATACTTAAAACTTAAAAAAAAAAAAAAACTTTATAGGAATTTGGTATGTGAGATAAACCTGCCTGACATTACTTTTCTAAGATTTTATTGGCTGTTAGCTTGAAGAATTCTACATGTTTTCCTTCAAAAAATAAAATAAAATAAATTTTGATTTATAGTATGAAACACTAAAAACTAGAAACAAAACACAATACAAAGGTATAGTTGTATATTTAGTAAAGGAATTTGCTTTTTCTCTTTGTACACATAGAGAAACACATTGTTTCCTGAACCATTTGCAAGTAAATTGGAGATAACATGACATTTCATCCCCACACATCTCCTAAGAATAAGGACATTCTTCTGCATAACCACAGTACCATCAACACATTATAATTAACAGCAATTTTCCCATCTCCTAAAATATTTAGTTCAAAAATTCAGGTTTTTTTTTTATTCTCAAAATGTCCTTGTAATTTCTTTTTCTAAATCCAATCAGGACTTATGCATAGCATTTGGTGGTTACATTTCTTTAGGTTCTCATTTTTGTTTTCCATAACATTGAGTTTTTAGAGAAATGTCAGTTTAACTGTAAAATATCCCACATTCTGTATTTTGTGGTTCTTGGTTTCAAGATGGTTAATAGTAATGTTCAAATAATCTGTATATCCTTACTGATTTTTTCTTCTTGGCTTTTTGTTCTAACAGTTACCAAGAGATATTTTCAAGATAATCATTTTTCTCAATTTTTGTATAATAATTATTGGCTCATCTTTAGAGATTTAATTTTTCTGTTGAAGTTCTATTGAGTTAATCTTTTTCTGAATTAAAAAGAATTATAATAATTATTTTAAAGTCCTCGTCTGTTTATTCCAATATATGTTTTATCTAGATCTGTTTCTTTTGGCTGTTTTTTCTTTTGATTATTGATCAATTTTTTCTTGCTTCATTGTCTGATAATTTAAAAAAAATGTATACACACACTAGCACTGTGTTTAGAAGAGACTGGCATAAATACTAGTTTTCCCTAGAGAGGGCATAACTCCCACTCCCAGCCCCACCCCCCGCCCCGCCCCAGCAGTCTGCTAGGATGAGAGGCTGACACTTTGATCCATCAGGGGTTAAGCTGAGTTGAAACTTGATTACATAGTTTGATTTCACCTCTGGCTTCAACTGCTTTGAGGGTGAGTCCTGTTTTATGTATATTACAGTCGAGCAAGACTCTGGG